ATTTTAAGCCACAACTTGAAAGTAATGCAATCTAAATGATTTATCTCCTTATAAATACCACTTAATATCCACAGTTTTTCCATTTTTGTGCGGAAAACAACTTGCAGAAACTTGCAGCTTCATTTTGCCAGGTGATGCACCAGAGTGGTCAAAGGGTCTTCTTATTTCTGTTGGCTTTTTTTCCTATTACATTCACACACAAGAAGATGATTTATGTACCTGTGCTTTTTTGAATGTTTGTGTTCCTGGTGTTGTATGTTTATTTTCCTTATAGGTGCGCCAGTTGGTGATACATTGTGTATTTCTATTTGTACTCTATGCTTTTATTATGTCTTCCCCAATCCCCACCACCACCATTTTTTCCCCTGCCTGTCTTGCCTTAGACATTGTCATACTGTATACCACATATAATGTAATACCTGAAATAAACACGAATAGAAATGAAGAAATAAACCCTGAACAGGAGGAACCTGTGGAGATTTTTTAGAGCTGATCTTGGAAAAGCAAAATGTGTTTGGCACAACAGTGAATTCAAATCACAATTCTGAATGCAAAAGCTGCCAGACAAACAGGATTTTTTTTTTTTAAAGAAAGAGTATGAAAGATATGAGACTATGGTAAGAACAGGCAGTCTTCCTCAGTAAAAGAGCTTATCCAACTTGAGCAAATTGCAAGTCTCTGCAAGCTGATTATTATACCAGAGCGAGAGGAACACAAACCAGTAGATACTGAGGACTGGAAAACACATCACACTATTAGAGTTTAGACAAATTCAAATAATGATTCCCAATAATGTGCAATACCTGGTGTTAAAACTAGATGTAAATGTGTAAAGACTGGTGTGACTACAGCTATAAATGTACATTTCTTTATCATTTCCAGATTTAACTAAAGTTGGAAAGCTGATTTCGACCTCCAGATAACAGGGATAGAAGGCTAATATTTGCTAAACCCCAAATTATATGCAATGCTTAACCCTCAGTTGACTTTAAAGGGGCCACTTGTAGTCCTTTGATGCAATGATCCATAACTACTGTATATTCAGAGTGTCAGAGTGAAGATGTTAAATAAAGTTATTTTTAAAAGGTTTAAGTTATTGCATTGCACCCTTTAACAGGAGGTGTTTTACCTGAACCCAGCAACTTAGTGTGGACTGTTTCATGGAAGATGACTACAGCGGGACCCAGGGTGGACAGTGGAACATCCAGGCCACAGCGTGCTGTCGTTGCCTTCAGTTCCTTGGTGAAATGCTTCAAATATGCGTCCGAAGCATCTCCGAGGAACTTGAAGAGGTCATCGTGGAGACGGTCAGCATGGGTGCGGTAGATGATGAGGTCAGAGATGGCGAGCACCTTGAGTAAGAGACGTGTTCTCTGGCCTTGTTTGGAACTGTTCCCAAGCAGCCCCTCTGTATCAATGACCACTAATTTATGGATGGGATCAAATGCTGCCCACACTCCCACTGTGCATGACTCTTGTGCAGGAGAAGTCTTGAACACCTCTCTGCCCATGAAGAACGTGTGGTTTAAGGTGTGAGATTTGCCCTCTCCCGTGTTACCAAAGATGGACACCACCTTCAGCAGCTGGTCGGGCGAGCAGCTGAGGCTCTTCATGAAGGAAGCTTCATCTTTTATCTTAGGACAAACAACAAGTGTAAAAACTTTAAAGCATAAACAAAGAAAATGGAATACAGTCCTATTTAATGCCCACTTGCACAACTTACCTGCATTTCCTCATTCTCATCAACCAGAAGAAAGCTTGATACCTTCTCCAGAAGTTTAGCCTTCTGAGATTTGGTCTCATCGGCTATACAGACAGCAGGCTGGGCAGATGTTTGGACAGAGTTGCCTTCTGCAGGTTTGGGTGGTGGAGGATAATGTGTAAGCTGGTGTTTCTTCTTGTTGCCTCCACTGTGGGTACGTTTCTGACAGTCCTGACACAGGTTAACTTTGCAGTTCTGGCAACGGACCACAGACGGATGGCGCGTGCCACTATCCCCACTACCTCCTTTACAGTTGTCACAGTATGGGACATGTCCAGGACCTAGCTGGACCCGCTTGTGGTTCTTTAGCCGGTCATGACTATGGAGGTCGAGCTCACAGCGAACACACTGCAGGCTTTTGCAATCAACACACTCAAATGCCGCCTCCTCAGAGCCACCACAGGAATAACTCTCCTGACATGTCAGACTAGTATTGACTCCCTTTTCTGAAGATGAGCCATACCCATTCATCGTTTCTTAAGGGGTGAGCTTGAATACAGACTGGCGCTTATTGGAACAGCTTTGACAACAGCACCAGCTACTTCCAATAGCAGTTAATGAAAAATGCACAGTGCAGTAATACTGAAAACTGAAATGCTCAAATACAATGAAATAAACTTAAGACAGCTGCATGATAACAGGACAGCTATCACACTGATTTAATACAAAGTTTAAACACTGATGTAAGTGATCAAATTAGTTTTAGCGGTATGAAATTCAGACACCTAAACGGGTTGATCTAATGCCATTTAGTGCACCTAACAAAGGCAGTGAAGTAAAAACCGTCGTCTTCTTCAGTAACGTTTAATATCCTTTGATCCTGTTAGCTTGTTCATGCATTAAAGTTAGCATTTAGCAGCAATATTACCTAAAATATATATCTAAGGCAAGAAAGAAACAGTTAGGTAACACATAAGTGTGTACAGGTAACCAGTACCTAACGACACAAAGAACCCTCCTTGGGGGAAAAAAATACCAAAACAAAAATGAGCAAATGTTAATGCTAACAACAGGCTAACTAGCAAGCTGACCCTCTGTGGGTCTATACCTTGCAAATTCAGTAAATTACTTGGCAACCAAATGTGAACAGTTAGCTTAGAGCTAGCTACTTTAGCCGGACAATTTCAACTTTTTCCCCCCACCTCAAACAAAAGCTGCAATTAGTGAGCCAGCAAACCACCACAGCTCACAGCCGTCCAAGCAAGCAGCTAGCCTCCAGTCTGTCAACTAAACAGCAACAACATATCAACAAACAACAGCTAGTCGATGTCAAAAGCTCGAATATCTGCGGGCTCTTTCACTAAACACCGGGAGGGAAATCGGCGCGATTCGGTTTTAAAAGTCTTTAGAAGAGTTACTGTATTTAAATTCTTCCAAGCAGTGTCATTGTTTTGTTCTTCAGCCCCCCTCCCTGATAGATTGCTCTAGCTACGTTATTTTGTTGCCAGGTCAGATCAGCTGATCAGATTATTTTCAGTCACAGGGTCAGAGCAGGGTGACGCCACGTTGCATCATGGGAAACGTAGTTTTTGCTAATAGTTGGCTCTGTTCACATTCTGTGCAACTCCTAAAAGCTCACATATTAAAACGTTTCTTTTTGAATTTTTTGTATAATATAATATAATATAATATAATATAATATAATATAATATAAGTTTAAAAAAAAAAGTCCAGAAGAGAGGAGAGAATCAGTGAGCAGCAGTATGACTTCATGCCAAAAAAAGAACACTACAATGTGATGTTTGCTTTGAGAGTGTTGATGGAGGAGTATAGAGAAGGTGGTAAGAAATTGCATTGTGTCTTTGTGGATCTAGAGAAAGCTGATAGGCAGGTACCAAAAGAGGAACTGTGATACTACATGAGGAAGTCAGGAATGGCAGACAAGTATGTGAGGGTTGTGCAGGGACATGACAAGGACAGGAAGAGAGTGGTGAGGTGTGCAGTAGGAGTGACAGATGGCTTCAAGGTGGGGATAGGATCGGCTGTGAGCCCCTTCTTGTTTGTAGTGGAGACGGACGGGCTGACAGATGAGGTGAGGCAGGAGTCTGCATGAACTGTAACATTTGCAGATAACACTGAGATCTGCAAGAGATGATATCTACTGGATATAAATATGATCATATAGACCAGGTGTGTCAAACATAAAGCAAAAACTCCAATTTGGCCCAAAAAGTTATATTTCTGTAATTTTACAATTTAAGTCCAAAGAGTAATGTTGGCAGATTTCATTAGTCAACCACAGCATTTCTTTATCAAGTAGAAAAACTGAAACATACTCTTGAAATTGTACTTCTTTTTATTATATTCACATACTGCAGGGATTAATTAATTTGGGATTTCTCCCAAAGACAAGAACTAACAGACTTAAAAACTCCTTTGTCCCACACGCCATCAGACTGTTTAACTCCTCTCTGGAGGGGAGAGGGAGGGGAGACAGGAGGACAAAGGAGGGGGGAACAAGCAAGTTGTAGTGCCTCTTCACTTCACTGTGCAATACCTTTTGTGCAATAGTTTTGTTAATAGTCAACGGTGCAATAGACTTGAAATGTGCAATTTCACTTGTATTTTTATTCCTATTTATCCCCTTTGTATATTTTATGTATATATGTCTCTGTATTTATATATATATATATATATATATATAATATTCTGTAACTCTGTAACTTCTGTCGGTGCTGTGATTTTTTGGAAACCGAATTTCCCAGAGGAACCCACCCGAGGGATTAATAAAGTTTTATCTTATCTTATCTCTCTCTTATCTTAAAAGTGCATTTAAATTACCGTACACTGACAGAACAACCAGTTGATCTAGCCCATGGTCTACGATAATGTCCTGTTAAGCACAACATTGTGAAAAGCTCTAAATATCTCTTTAAATTAATATCTAATCCAAATCTACCTGTTGCTTCTAGTTGGCCAAATCTTATCCTTAATCTAATCACTGAAATTAAAACTCCATTACCAACCATCGCCATAGCTATAGGAAAATGTGGATGGGTGTTTTAAAAGTAGGTTTGGGAAACAAGTCCCATCATCAGGCTTCAGGCTCAGGATGGATTTAAATGGCTTTTATCTTGTAAAGTAGCACTTCAAAGCAGCAGCAGGGGACCATTTGTCCTAAATGCCAGTCTGCGCTTTCCCTCCGTTTCTTCACTGACAGTAACTTCTAAAGGCAAATCCTTAAATTTGATGTTGTCTTTTTGAAAGCAAGCAAATCACTACCACTGCATTTCTTAATCCATTTATTACAAAACTTACCTAGCACACAGAAATATAAATAATAACAACAACAGCCAAAATATGAAACAAGAAACACAAAGGTATAAAGAGAGGAAGTGTAGCTGGCTGAAGTCACCGTTTGTCCGGTTTGTCACATTTCACACAAAGATGGGGATTTTGAGATCAGTTCTTTAAATCCACAGCCCATAATTTGTAGACAGACACTTTGTTTAAAAAAACAAAAATCATGGTTTGTTACGGTCGAGTGAGGATACCCGCTCTGCACTTTGGATTTCAGATCACAAGAATCGAAAGATTTTCCTCCATCCACCATCATAGAGAGACTTTAAACTGTTAAGCAAATTGAGCTTTTTGTATTTAGTGCCACCGTGCTTGTGCTTAATGGCAGCAAATACAGCACAGTCAAAGGCGTCTTTAAGGTTGTGCTGTGTGAGAGCCGAGCACTCCACGTAGTCATGAGCTCTGATCCTGCTCGCGAGCCGTCTGGCCTTGTTAAAGAGCACCGGTCTGGTGCCCTGCTGGTTCAGATGAATGAGGACGTCCACACTGTGTCGAAGGTCTGACTGAGTTCCAACCAGAACGATGGGGGAGATTGGGTTGGCGGCTCGAATCTGTGGGATCCATTTGGAGGTGATATTGTCAAATGAGATGGGGTTGACGAGGCTGAAGCAGAGGATGAAGACGTCCACATGGGCATAGCACAGAGAGCGCAGATGGCCAAATATCTCCTGATAGATCAAACATTGAGAGATGAGAAGCACTGGACCCACTTGTCTGTTTAGAAAAAAAAAACTGTGATATGTGATAATTACCTGTCCAGCAGTATCTATCAGCTTAATGTGGGTTGGGATTCCATTCACATGAACTAATCCTGGACGTTAGGTAGAGACAAGCTGGCTTTATTGCTGGGTGAAATATCTGACCTTTAAATAAAAGAGCTCCTTCACTTACCTGTGAAAACATCAAATGCAGTTTGCCTGTACTCAGTGTTGTATCCATTGAAGATGTAACTGATAACCATGCAGGTTTTTCCCACTGCTCCATCACCAACCAGCATGCAGCTCACTTCTTCTCTCATTCTGTTTGCTTTATCAGTTCTATGACAGGCCATCTTCCCTTATATTATCACTGCACTATCTTAGAATCCCAGCAGTGCGAAAGTCTATGCAGGAGTGCAGCACTAATGTAAAACATGTCTTCTTCCACCCCGGGGGCCTGTTAGTGGCAATAAAGGGAGAAGGCCACCTCGATTTGAAAGAACAAAGGCGCCCAATCAGATGAGTGACCTCTTCTCAACACTTTGACTGTTTCCGTTTGATGCAGATTTACATAGTCACTCCCACCAAACACTCGATGTGACTCATCCAATAAAGGTCACTTAACTGGACGTTAAAGACGGCATAAGAGGATAATTAATTTTATTTCGCAGACTGCTTGTTTGTAAATGTGTAAACTTAGCACACACAAATTTGTGGAAGACTTTACAAACTCTATACATGCCTAATTCTGAATATACTAACGTGAACAGCTGTAGTAATAACGTCGATATTATCGCGAGAGTAGATTTACGAACTCCTAAATTCTCTTCTGTGCGGAGATGCATGTTCGCACGACAGTGATGTAATACCATCGCCGGCCACTAGAGGGCAGTGTTGCTCCAGCATGGAGCGGGTACTTCATGGTGCTTCACTCAGGTGCAGTTTCTTGATTTCGTGAAACGAACCAGAAAAGGTAATTATTCTGACTCATTCACAACTTTCAGAAAATTATTTTTTATTTTCTGAAGTGACAGAAAATAAGCTTACCGTTTGTTTTTTTTGTTTTTTTCATTTCATTCCTTTAATCAGTACACAGCGAAATATTCAGCACCCAGAAGCTCCAAACAACATTTCTCAGGCCGGTTTGTTTTCATTGGGTATATACATTACATTTCAATACCAGCTTTACTCTGCCACGCAAAGAGCAAAGAGCAGAGCTGAAGGGAAGTAGTGGAGGTCATTGTTTGTCATCAAGTCCAGTTCATAGTAGTGACGTCAGGTCCCATCTGTCTTTTTTTTTCAGGGTGACTGGGTTCATAAATACACACACACACACACACACACACACACACAAACAGACACACACACACACACACACACACACAAATCCCAAATATATATTTATCTCATATTTACATTTCCTCTGTTGCAAACACACTCATACAGACTGCATCTGCAATTCAGTGACTTCCACATATGCAGAAACTCAGCATATTACTCTGCTAGTATAACTAATCACAGTGCGTTAAAGGAGCTCACACTGATAATTCTTTGATCACATGCTGGCCTTAGTTCAGGGGAAACTGCTTAATTGTGAAGTCTGTAGTTTCCCTGAATTCCCATCATGCATTTGATTTGTGTTTCTAGGCAGAAATACCAAATGCATTAAATAAGTTATTTAAAGCATTTTAAGCCTGATGTTATGGAAGTTTTGACCAAATACAAAAAATCATAAATTAATAAAACTTTGGCTTGGAAAACCTCGTCTGCACAACTGATTTATAATTGGTTTATAATGCAGCTGGAGTCATTTTCTTATGATCCAGCATCTAGATTACATTACGCCACACTTTTAAGGCCAGTCTCTGACCTTACAAAAAAGCCATTATGGTAATATTAGTAATGTCTGCAAAAATAATTGGTTATTATCTTACTGTACTTTTCCTTGATTGAACTTGCTATTGCAGTCATGTCTTGTTGCAACATTTGCACTGAGCCTTGAGCTTCTTTCCCTTGCAAACAATCCAAATTTTGCACTCCAACATATCACAGCTGTACTGCAGAAGAATTGTACCAGCAAGCGGCGCAACATATTTTAGAGCCCGGGAAACGTTTGGGGGGTTGAAACTGCAGCTTTAAACAAAGTGTTGCTCCTTATCTGTCTGAACCTGCAGGAAACTCTGCGAGCATTGTGTTGTAAGGTCTCTGCTTCCTGTTTGCCGTTGTTTCTCACTTACTCTTTCTCTTCTCCCTTTCTCTCCCCCCTTTTCCCACCACCTGCGGTGCGAGTGATAGAGTTTATTCCCCGTGGTAGGAGGACAACATCTGGTCCCCACCCCACCTCCTCTCCATACAAATCATTCTGCCTGCTCAACTCCCATGCTACACCTTTGACAGCTGTGAGTCACAATGTGCTGTTCCTTAATCCAAGGTAAATGTCAAATGCAGGAAGTCGTCTTTAAATACCCTTGCATCCAAAGATTGTTTTTCTGTAACTTTCTTTTATCATCTCAGATCTGTCACAGAGCGTTTCAAATAGAAGCAAATGTCTGTGAAAGGCTTGCATCACCCGTAACTCGTGCAGCAGATGTCAGCAGAGTGTTAATGGCTCAGTGTCCTGGGATGCATACGTTGCTATAAACATGTTTAGTCTATGCATTCCCACGGTCTATTTTTGTATAACTAGACATGCAGAAGTGAATACCGACATAGATTTATTTAGGTAATCTGCTTAGGAAGAGACTCTCTGTGTGTGTGGCTTAGGAGAGCCCTCTGGCATGCATAGAGCTCACTTCAAATTCCACACCTTCAATATGTAGTGATAAATCTTGTCAGTGTGCTCTGACTGCAGTCTATTTATTTAAAGGCATAGTTTGAGATCAGCACAAACGCATCCGTCTCGACCCAAACTATTAGCCCAGTATTTTAAAAATAAACTCAACATCTGCCTGCACTTCCTGTCTCATATCAAATCTGACAACAATAGGGAATCTCTGCCAGATAGGTGTTAAAAGATTATGCTGCCCCCTAAGCCGGAGCTCAGCATGGCACTCTCAGGCCACAAAACAAGTGGCTGATGCCGACATGGATTGATAAACAAGCCATTTGCATAACATTTCCTGTATCTCATTTTAAGTAGATGAGGATTAGAGCAGGAGGGGTGCATCCATCACACTCCACATAATAGGAACACTTTACCTTATACGTCATTAAACTTAAGTTGTTCTAGTATAAACCACTGTTCTCTGAAAAGTCCAATTACAAACACTCACAAAACAGTGCTTTGTGTGTTCAGTCTTCTCCGTGCAGCCCTCACTAACATGCTCCACTCTGAATCTATGAGAAAACCTAATCTAGCAGCTGTACTAAGTACTTTAATAAATGCTAACTCCCAAAGCAGATATGCCAGACAATCATAAAAACTAACATGCTAAGTTAAGGAGGTACATTTTTGACATAACTTACTCTATTGCTTCAGCATATTAGTATAAAAAACACAACCTCGAGGTCTCTGTCCAGAAGAGCGAAGCTTGAGGAACTCACACGTACCAGCTCAAGGGAGTGAAAGGAAGATTTCGTCCTGATGTTGTTGACACCATCTCAAAACTTTCAACTTTTTATTAGCGCTAGACAAAAATGACTAAGGAAGTCTGTGCCAGGCACTGTTCATATAGTAGGAGTGACCTTCCAGTTTATAAATGAGTTTCAGAGCTGGACTTGTTTTTAGTAGTGCAGGGATAGTAGGGAGCTGGGTTAGTGTGATGATACCGCTTCAGTTTTTTTGCGGCCCTCTTCTCAGTGAATCTCAAATTCTCGCACCTTATGCTCACCACACAAAGTGATTCACGTTGAGACTTGTGTGGATTTCGTCTGTTCTGCACATGACCCTTGCTTGTATTCTTGCCTTGTTGCCAGTTATTGAGATGCAGTGTGGTATCAGTGCATTTTCAGTTAATCTGGATTGACATTGTAGCCATTTGGATCTGAGCCAGCTTATGGTAAGTCATCCTGCCCCAATTTTTAAGTAAAGCTTAAGGATTTTGGGGGCTTTTGTTAGCCAGCAAGAACCCATGCCAATTTAGTTACCTCTGCTCCATTAAATCCTAGCTGGAGTCCAGAAGCAGCAGACTAATCCCACTTTACCCTCCAGAGAGCATCGTAAGGGGTCTGTCCTCTGCCCTCAGTGAAAAAAGAGCTGTTCTCCCATGAACCTGTTCAAAAACTAAAAAAAATATTTATTTGTCTGCACCATGGGAATGTGGATTATTAACACACATTTAAAAGCCCTGAAAAATGTTTTCTAAATCATCCTCTATGCAAAGTGGCCTTAGGACAAGTTGATGAATTTCTGTAGATATCGATTGATCTTCTTTCTGCAACACGTTCTCGCTCCCAAAGCGTAACATTTTACGCTAGGTGACAAATCGTCACCATATTACGTTTTCGGCTACCCACCACGTTCCTAAATGACGACCTCGGAAAAAAGAGGACATATGAGAACCGTCTGGACTGAATCTACACATGTTCGCTCTTTTTCTTCAAATCGCTTCGAAACACGCTATTTAACATCATTATAGTCCTGGTTAAGTTCAGGAATAAGGTTATGGTCAGGGCTGGAATGCAGGAATGCAAAACGTCGACATGTTACGCCTGCTGGGACTTTACATGAGTCACAACTGAGCAATATTAAAACTATGAGAAGATTTTGTTGTCTGAATTAAAAATAAGAATTAGATCACTCTAAGAAGGATAAATAATAGCTTTCTTTTATGTTGATTCACATGCATTTACTAATCAATATTTATGGATGTTATATCTATATTTGCAGAGAAACGTTTAGTTTAAACTAGCTCATGTGCAGCCTGGCAGTTACACATTTACTAGCTTTGTAGATATGAATGAAAAAAAATATTGAATGAAGTTCTAAAAATCAGTCAGCTAATGCTGATATTTCCACACAGTGGACTCCATGGTATAGTTTTGAAATTCCTCGGAACTTAGTTGAGAATACTGATACCGAACTTACATTTATTCAATTCAATTCAATTTTATTTATATAGCGCCAAATCACAACAAAATAACACAGGTTTCTGATTTATTTTTTTAAAAGATGCTGGTATATATTCTAGTTTTCACACACTTCCACGAGAGAAGGATGAAGAACGGATCAGATCTGAACAAACCTCAGATTCACAGGTGTGTTTTAGCGTCACCATGATGAACCATACATGTCCATGTTTAACATACTGCAGGGAAGCCCCCAGCTGCCTGTGAATGGGCACATTCACATGATCATCCTCACACTGTGAACATGTAATAA